GTTGAATTTGCACCTCAGCTTCGCCATCTGGACAGCTTTTCTCAACACCCTTTGCGAACACATTCTGCGTACAAGGGCTTCCCTTGTCAGGTGACATTTTCGTCTTTGAAAATTGCCACGTCCGCGATCTCGGCTCCGACTCGTCTTGGGTCGGGGTACCCGGGTTCATCATCTCAGACATGCAATTGTTCAATCTATCCTCAGCTGGCGTGCAGTGCGCGCACAGTGGTTGAGCGCCATGTCTGTCAGAACTTTCATGCTGCTCAGGCTCCAAAGTTTCCGGGCTCCAGCTCTCCAGCTCGTTGGAAAACAGGTCTGGAAAGGGAAAACAGGCGCTGGAAGCCAGGTTTCTTTGGCGAAGCAAAACAAATTCAACTACGTCCTCATGCAAAACAAGCCTGAGCCTGGCGGCGGCAGTGGAAAGAAAGTGTAACTATCACCTTCTCAAGGCTTGACATGCAAAGGAGGCTCCATGGTTCCTGACTGACCCGGCTTGGCAAAGCGACCTCAACTTGCAAGGAAGGAACCTTTCTGACAATTTCTCTGAATTTGTTGGGAACACCTTTTTCTGTCATGCAAGCCCGCAGCGACAAGGTACCAGCGCATGCTGCACACGCAGGACATGGCTCATGGCGCGTCCCATGAGCTGATCTGAAGCCAGTCGACAAGGTCACCATTCCCCCATGCTTTCAGCGCGAGCGATGACCTCAAACGGGTAGACACGACTTGCCCAGTGCCGCAAATAGCTGCCTCTTCCCAAGCCGCCCGCGCCTTGCATCCTTGCCGTCAAGTGCTCTGAGCCGATCTTGCAACTCTGCGCTCATCGGCTCATTCAGCGACACGTCTGGGAAGGTGAGATGGTAACCTTTGCAAGGCCCGGGGCAGTGAGATTCAAACATACACGCGGTAAGGGTGCATCCTGCAGTTAAAGATGCTAATGATTTGCCCAGCTGAGATGCGGCAATCCAAACTTGGACCGACAAAGGTACATTTGCCAATCAAAATGTAGACAAGCCACGGTGTAAGAAGTGCCTGCTCAGGCGCTCATCCGTATTGCGACCAGCGATGGACATGTATTGAGGATCGGCCACCTTCCGTCAAACTTCTTTGACGGCCCGGAAGCAGACACTCGGATCTTGAAGAAGTAAGTCTTGCATCAAGACTGCCACCAAGTCACCACTGGATGCCCCACATGAGCACATTGGCTTCGTATCTGGTGTCGTCCTTGCACTACAGCACGGCTTTCGGACTCCATTACGCGAACATACGCGAACCATTGATTTTCAATAACACAAATGTCACGGGACATCTGTGTGCTTGCAGACTCTTGCAGTGAGGTCTCTGCCAGTGATGAGTCGAATAGCTAGAAGACTGAACGCGGTACCGTGCCCAGCATGCGCAAGGGGCTTGACCAATGAGATACTCTGCTTGCCTCGTCCGCCTCTTTTCAGGCTTAGATTGTATTTGTTGCGGCTGAGGCTTAATGTGGCACTTTCAACAAAACCTAGTCCACCTGCAACGGAAAGCGTCTGCAAGCCCCAATACAAGCTGGTGCGAATCTCCGTCAGAGACGATGGCCACCAGCCATGGCACAAAACCACGTAGTCGCCTGGTAAGGTCCATGTTTGGCAGATGCCCAGTGCTGTGATGAGTCTTGCTCAAGTTCGGCCAAGGGGCGCTCCAGTGCACCTGTGCGGAGAGAGAGCTGCAATGCAAAGTATTTGGCGTAGGTCTTTGCCGCTGCCACCAGACCCGAACTTGGAATGTCGAGCCGATGAAGGAACCCAAACTGAAACGCCGAATCTCGAAGAATGGGATGCCTTCAAGGCAATACTGTTAGAGCTGAGCGGGAAGAAAGTTTCAACGCTCTAGCTGCCAAGAATCTTGAAGCCAAAGCGTGCTTGCAGCCATTCGGATAGCTGCCTTGCAGCTGAGGAAGCGGCTAGCCTGCACATCCTGACACATTGCAATCTGCCATACCGTGCCTGTCACAGTGCTGGTCAAAGACCTCCCACCCCGCTGGCTTTGCGAGAACAAGCATGTCCACAGAGTCGAATGACACGGCTGGTCCGGGAATGCTGGACCTACCAGTGTCCAGAAGAGCTAGACTCACTTTCAAGGTGCCTTCAAAGAAAGATCACGAACCCAAAAGCATCTGAGGCCTGGTGCAAGGCCTTTCTGGCGGCATTTGCTGCGACTCAGATGGCTCAGCGTTTCCATCCAAATCCTGGCCTTGTCTCACCAGCAGCTGTGACGCGGCCTCCCTACAGCGCTCATAGAGCATACCAGCAGAGTGACAGGCCGATATCAAAGCAAGAACACTTTGAGCTGGGGGATGCCTGGCGTTTTCGAAACGATTTGCCAGCTCTTCCTGTAGTGGATCAAAGAACTCGTGGACTAGGCCACAAGCAGCGGCCCCCCAGGAGAGCTCTACTAGCTCATCCCAATCGAACAATGGCAGTCTTGGGATAATTTGAACGAGAATTGCATCTTCAAACGCACCATTCTGAGCACCCAAAACTGCTGAGGATGACCACAACGTTACCAAGTCGTGAGGCGAACTCGCTGCTCTTAGCATTCTTAGCCGCTCGAGAGTCTCTTTGAGGGTACAATGTATGACATCAGGATCGCTGATGAAGATAGCGGCCAACATGCTGGGAAGCGTCGAAATTCCGTGCATCATCCCCTGGCACATAAGACCTCGAAGAAGCTCGACCCCTGCTCCAGTTGTGCAGCTTCTTCCGCAGCTACGAAGCACTGACAAATAGCTCACTTCGTCAGGAACCAGCTGTGTTAGCTGAGTTGGTATCTCGTGCAACAGCAAATGCCCTATCTGCCATGCACTGGCAGCTTCACAGGCCCACAGCACTTTGTTGTAAGCTTGGATGTCACGAATCCGTGCCCTCCACGATGCTGTCAGAATGGCAAGAGCTGATTGCCAGTCAGCATCGCTGCAACAACTGATGGTCGCGCGATATGCTATCGCATCGGACTCCAGTTGGTCCTGAAGCATCATGGTCAGAATGCCGACGGCTTGCTGCCATTCCCGAGATGACTCACAGCACGTGATCGCAGCCGTGGCAGCAATTGCGCTAGGCGAGAAGCTAAACTCCTTCATCCTGTGCAGCAGGCACAGGGCCACTTGCCACTTGCCCCCTCGGCAAGAAGAGATTGCAGCGGTATAGCCCGCCGCCGTGACCGGCTGCCTTGTACACAGGAGGCACAATGCCTGCTGCCACAGCCCTGAGCAACTGCCAATCGCGGAGCTAAGTGCAATCGCGTTTTTGGGCATCGAATCCAGCAATAGCAAACTTGTTTGCCAGAAGGAGCCCTGTGCAAAGGCTTTGGTCGCAACCTCAGAAACAATCCGCCAAAATTGCATGAACGTAGAACGACCTTTCGCGATGATCGCAGCAATGGCTAAGGTACAAACAGTGGAGCTGGCCGGATCGAATTGAATTTGGCGCGCAGCCATGCTCTGCATGCAAGTGAGTACCCCTCTCCAGCCAGACGCGGTTTCCATTGCATCTGTCAGCGAATTATACAAAACTGCATCTCGCTGCATACCTTTGTTGCAGCTGAACACTTCATGAGCAAGGGATCGTCACTTTTGGAAAGCTGGCTTGTTTTCAAACGAGAGGCCCAAGCAGCGAAGGTCCCAAAGTGTCGACAGGAGCTGCCAAGCTCCTGGGCCTGGCCGTGGCTTTTTGACACGGAAGCACCTGCCCTGTGCAAGTTGAGGTCGCCACTTGAGTTGCATGAGCCCACGAGGGTTGCGAAGGTGACTTCGTTGGGGGAACTGGCCATGCACCGCATGATGCCAAAGACATCAAGGGCCATCTCCCACTGCTGACCTTTCCTCAAGCATGCGAAGCAGAGACACGCTTCCTGAAAATTCAGAAAACAGCAAGTCAAGTTGAGCAGGAAGAGGATTCATCTATAATGTGCCGAGCTTCTTACATGCATTGATTACAGAGGTGAAGGTGATGGCATCTGGTCGTCCAAAGGAATGCAGCATTGCGCCAAACGTTTCGAGTGCCAGTTCCCATTGGCCGTGTCTATGGCCTTGGTGGAATGTAGAACGCCCCGGAACCACAAGCGAACTGCTAAGCGAACTGCTCTGAGGATGAGACAATGGTTTATGACGTTGGTGCACACAACATTGTCGGGAGCCACTTTGGCCACCAACATATCCTTCAACAGCTTCAAGGCCACGCCAGGCTGAAAGTGCATGCAGACGAGCATTGCCTAGGCCACGTCGGCTACTTGCTGTTATCATGTCAACTCCCAAGGGATTCAAGCTCTTCGAACCCTTCAACTGGGATTTCAGTCTCAGCGGGCAAAGGAGGGGGGACATACACCCAGAAAGGCTGGCACTTGATTGCCAGAGCACATGGCTGAAGATGAACTCATTCTTGCCCAAGGCAACCTGCTGCAAACACTTTCCAACACGCTCCAGGCCTCATATTGTTGCCGAGCAGCCACTTCCATCCTGTCCAGCAGTGAGAGCGCATGTTGCCATTGCAAGCCCCGCTTGCAGGCAATCAGCGCAGTGCCGAAGCACGCAACAGTTGGCTTCGCCTCGTGCTGACGATCGGTGGAACTGAAGCAGGTCTATCCCGAGGTGCAGACCAGTCGCCTTGAACTCCAAATCTATGAGTGCTTTTTGCCAGGGAATTGTTGCTCCTCGAAACAGCTTTTTTGCCATCATGTAGCCCGACATTGAAGGCTGTACCATCCCAGAAAGCAAACGGCAGCACCAAAAACAATGGCTTACGGCACCTGAAGGTAGGCGCTCTGTTCGCATCAGCCCTCGGGGCCGGATATGTCTCCAACCAACAGTGACATCCGTGGCAGGTGGTTCACATGCTGCTCTGCGCACCCTTGAGCCCAAAGATATGCGCCATGTGTGGCAACTTGTGCGAAAAGACAGTTTGCAAGAGCCTGGCCTACTCGCAGAAAAAAACGTTGCCACACCAGCACAGCCGTAATTCCCCGGCCTCGAACACGCTATAGAAATTCCTGAGGTGAGTCTTGTTGCAATTTAGGTATGAAACTCGAGACTATCTGATTAGTTCTAGCTGCAATTGCGCAGCAGTCAAAGCGGAAGCAGGCAAGGAGCCGAGAAAAGGTTAGTCACCCAGCTATGTATACTCTCGAAGCTGCACTTCATCCCAATTGCTCTGCGCAGCGGCAGGCATCAAGGTGAAGGAAAACAGATCCAAGCTAAGTTGCACCGTGTGAGGCGGTCACACACAAGGACAGTGCAGGGTCTCTGAAGTTGATAATGACAACAGCATGTGTCTTCTGCTGGAAGCGAGGAAATCTGAACAGAATTGAGGTGTTGAAGGTCTGAAACTACGTGCTCGGAGTTCCAACAACCCTCTTGTTTGTCTCCCACAGAACGCAGTCAGATCTTCTGGAACCCCTTTCACTCATCCTTTAAGCGCTATAAAACCTTGAAGAATCCTGCAGCTCAGATGCTCTGATCCACCCAGGGCAACCAGGCAGTAAGCGTTCGTGAGACGTGCGAAAACACCTACCTGCCACTCGAAATCATCAAGGTTCAGCGAAAATCAACACACGACTCAAAACTTAACAAATTTCAACACCAAGAAAAGACAAAGCTTCTGGCCTGCCTCGTTACTGTTCTCAAAAGATGCACGCACCGCCATGCAGTCAAAGCCTGGAAACCCAGCTGGGACACGACTTCATCACACTACCCAGGCTTCAGTGAAGAACTTGGAGCCCTGGGTGCTGCTTGCTTCTTTTGACTTCCCCTCATGCAAGTCTGGCTCAAGCCTGCTCCCATCTTCTCCATGTCTCTCGGTTCTAGTATTATGGGTTATAGGTTTTTTTTACCCTGGAGGCACGGGCCGCAGGTTGCAGTCCGCGGGATGCGGGACGCAGCCTGCGGGACGCGGGCCGCGGGACGCGGGACGCGGGCCGTGGGACGGGCGGCACGGGCCGCCCTAAACCCCAAAAACACTAAACCCCAAAACCCCTAAACACCGTAAACCCTAAAAACTCTAGACTCTAGACACTCCTAACCCTAAAAGTAAGCCCTAAAAAGACAAGACACCGTAAACCCAAAAAAGCCCTCACCCTGAAACCCAAAACCCCCTCAACCCAATAAACCACTATAACACCCTAAACCCAAAAAACACCAACCACAAAGACCCTAATCACCCTAAAAGCCTAACAACCCTATACCCTATAGATACCCTAAAAACAACTCTAAACCCTGAATGCCTGAAGCCCCTGAACACGCTGGACCCTAAAACCCAGAAGCCCCAAACCCTAAAAAGCCGAAATGGAAAAAAAATGAACCCTAAATACCCTGAACCTGAGACACCCTAAACCCCAAAAAACCCTCACCCTGAAACCCCAAAACCCCCTAAACCCTATAAACCTTATAAACCCAAAAAACACCCTAAACCCAAAAAACACTAAACCCAAAAACCCTAACACCCTAAACCCTAGAAACCCTAAACCCTATAAATACCCTAAAAATAACCCTAAACCCTGAATGCCTGAAGCCCCTAAACACGCTGGACCCTAAAAACCCAGAAGCCCTAAACCCTAAAAAACTGAAATGACGAAAACCCTAAACACCCCTAACCCTAGAAACCGCAAACCCCAAAAACCTTAGACACCCTAAACCCCAAAAAACCCTCACCCTGAAACCCCAAACCCCCTCAACCCCATTAAACCCGTAACACACCCTAAACCCTAAAAATGCTAAGCCCCAAAAACCCTAAAAACTTTAAACCTTATACATACCCTTAAAATAGCCCTAAACCCTGAATGCCTAAAGCCCCTAAACACACTGGACCCTACAAAACCTAGAAGCCCAAAAACGTAAAAACCCTAAGTTCTAAAAACCCTAAACCCTAAAAACCCTAAACACCCCTAACCCTAAAAACCGCAAACCCTAAAAATCCTAGACACCCTAGAGCCCAAAAACACCCTATACCCCAAAAACCCTAAACCCTGAAGAAACCCTCGACTTAACACGAAACCTTGTATGCCTAAAGCCCCTAAACACGCTGGACCCTAAAAGACCCAGAAGCCCTAAACCCAAAAAAAAGAAATGAGGAAACCCCTAAACCCTAAAAACGTTAAACCCAAAAAAACCTAAACACCCTAAACCCTATAGATACCCTAAGCATAACCCTAAACCCTGAATGCCTAAAGCCCTAAACACGCTGAGCCCTAAAAAAAACAGAAGCCTTAAACCCTAAAAACCGAAATGATGAAAAACCGTAAACCCTAAAAACCCTAGACACCCTAAAACCCCCAAAAAACAACACCCTCAAACCCCAAACCCCCTGAACCCTAGTTACCCGTATAGCACCCTAAACCCTAACAACACTAAACCCCAAAAACCCCAAACACCCTAAACCCTACAGACCCTAAACCCTATAAATACCCTAAAAAATAGCCCTAAACCCTGAATGCCTAAAACACGCTTGAACCCTAAAAATCACTGGAAGCTATAAACCCTAAAAAGCCTAAATTCTAAAAACCCTTAGCCCCCAAAAATCCTGCACACCCCTAACCCTAAAAACCGTAAACCCTAAAAAGCCTAGACACCCTAAACCCAAAAAAATCATCACCCTGAAACCCCAAACCCCCTTAACCCCATAAACCAGTATAACACCCTAAACCCTAAAAACACCAAACCCCCAAAACCAAACACCCTAAACCCTAAGACCCTAAACACCCTAAACTTTATGGATACCCCAAAAACAACCCTAAACCCCGAATGCCTAAAGCCCCTTAACACGCTGGACCCTACAAAACCCAGAAGCTCTAAACCCTAAAAAACCTAAATGACAAAAACCCTAACCCCTAAAACCCTGAACCTTAGACACCCTAAACCACAAAAAAAACCTCACCCTGAAACCCAAAACCCCATAAACCCTATAACCCTGTATAACACCCACTAGACCCCAACAAACCTAAACACCCTAAACCCTAAAAAACCTAAACCCGAGAGATACCCTAACAATTACCCTAAACCCTGAATTCCTAAAGCCCCTAAACATCCTAGACCCCAAAATGGCTGAAAACCCTGAAAAAAGCCCTAGAAGCCCTAAACCCTAAAAACCCTAAATCAAAAAAAATCCTAAGCCCTAAACACCCTAAACTCCCCGAACCCCCAAAAGAAAACCCAAAAATCCGAAACACTGTAAACCCTAAACACCCTTCACTCCGAAAACCCTAAACCCTCGAAACCCTAAAGCCCCTTATAACTTCCTAAACCCTAAAAACCCGGAACCTAAAAAAAACTAAAACCTGGATTGTTGGAAATTGCGGAAACCTCGGGTCTGGGCGCCCTATAGTCCTAAACGCATTATCCGCAGGCCGCAAGCTGCAGGCGTCGGATCGGGCTGCAGGGCTGCGGGCCGGGCCGCGGGATGCGGGCCGCGGGATGCGGGCCGGGGGCCGCGGAGGCGCGCGGCCGTGCGAAAGTTCTACTATTAGTTAGTAGTGACCATTTCCATTTTCTAACCATGCCACCCCCCCTAGGACACTTGAAGACCCAAACCCATAACAACCTATACCTCAACCCTAAACCCATCCAAGACCCATAGGTAGAACCCTAGGAATAACCCACCCAAATACCCAAAACCATAACAACCTATACCTCAAGTCTAACCTCGCCAAAATACCCATAGAAAAGACCCACATAATGGAACCACTAAAAGACCCA